AATAAATATTTATTTTTTGAAGAAGCAGGAACACCTAAGGTCTCAAACCTCTTTAATATTGATACTATGTCTGTACATGATGCTTCTATGCAGTAAAACAAAAATATCATATTTTCTATTTTTTCTTGAAATATGTGGGCTAACCCCTACGAAAAGATAAAGTTTTTCGATAAAGGCTATAAATTGAAGTTTATGCTCTTTCTTGTCGATTAAAAAATACCAAATCAGGTTATAAATTTATATTAATGTATTTTAAACTATTTTTCATGGTACAAGAGCATCGTTTTAAGGTTTTGAATATGTAATTTATGTTAAGTTCATATACCACTTAATCAGTGGACTAACCCCAATAAATATTTATTTTTTGGAGAAGTAGAAACACCTAAGGTCTCAAACCTCTTTAATATTGATACTATGTCAGTACATGATGATTCTATGCAATAAAACAAAAATATCATATTTTCTAAATTTTCTTGAAATATGTGGGCTAACCCCTACGAAAAGATCAAGTTTTTCGATAAAGGCTATAAATTGAAGTTTATGCTCTTTGTTGTCGATTAAAAAATACACAATCAGGTTATAAATTTATATTAATGTATTTTAAACTTCTTTTCATGGTACAAGAGCATCATTTTAAGTAATTTATGTTAAGTTCGTATACCACTTANTTTTCTTGAAATATGTGGGCTAACCCCTACGAAAAGATCAAGTTTTTCGATAAAGGCTATAAATTGAAGTTTATGCTCTTTGTTGTCGATTAAAAAATACACAATCAGGTTATAAATTTATATTAATGTATTTTAAACTTCTTTTCATGGTACAAGAGCATCATTTTAAGTAATTTATGTTAAGTTCGTATACCACTTAATCAGTGGACTAACCCCAATAAATATTTATTTTTTGGAGAAGCAGGAACACCTAAGGTCTCAAACCTCTTTAATATTGATACTATGTCAGTACATGATGCTTCTATGCAATAAAACAAAAATATCATATTTTCTAATTTTTCTTGAAATATGTGGGCTAACCCCTACGAAAAGATAAAGTTTTCGATAAAGGCTATAAATTGAAGTTTATGCTCTTTCTTGTCGATTAAAAAATACCAAATCAGGTTATAAATTTATATTAATGTATTTTAAACTTCTTTTCATGGTACAAGAGCATCGTTTTAAGGTTTTGAATGAGTAATTTATGTTAAGTTCATATACCACTTAATCAGTGGACTAACCCCAATAAATATTTATTTTTTGGCGAAGTAGGAACACCTAAGGTCTCAAGCCTCTTTAATATTGATACTATGTCAGTACATGATGATTCTATGCAATAAAACAAAATATCATATTTTCTAATTTTTCTTGAAATATGTGGGATAACCCCTACGAAAAGATCAAGTTTTTCGATAAATGCTATAAATTGAAGTTTATGCTCTTTCTTGTCGATTAAAAAATACCAAATCAGGTTATAAATTTATATTAATGTATTTAAACTTCTTTTCATGGTACAAGAGCATCGTTTTAAGGTTTTGAATGAGTAATTTATGTTAAGTTCATATAGCACTTAATCAGTGGACTAACCCCAATAAATATTTATTTTTTGGAGAAGTAGGAACACCTAAGGTCTCAAACCTCTTTAATATTGATACTATGTCAGTAAATGATGATTCTATGCAATAAAACAAAAATATCATATGTTCTAATTTTTCTTGAAATATGTGGGCTAACCCCTACGAAAAGATCAAGTTTTCGATAAAGGCTATAAATAGAAGTTTATGCTCTTTGTTGTCGATTAAAAAATACCAAATCAGGTTATAAATTTATATTAATGTATTTTAAACTTCTTTTCATGGTACAAGAGCATCGCTTTAAGGTTTTGAATGAGTAATTTATGTTAAGTTCATATACCACTTAATCAGTGGACTAACCCCAATAAATATTTATTTTTTGGAGAAGTAGGAACACCTAAGGTCTCAAACCTCTTTAATATTGATACTATGTCGGTAAATGATGATTCTATGCAATAAAACAAAAATATCATATGTTCTAATTTTTCTTGAAATATGTGGGCTAACCCCTACGAAAAGATCAAGTTTTTCGATAAAGGCTATAAATTGAATTTTATGCTCTTTGTTGTCGATTAAAAAATACCAAATCAGGTTATAAATTTGTATTAATGTATTTTAAACTTCTTTTCATGGTACAAGAGCATCGCTTTAAGGTTTTGAATGAGTAATTTATGTTAAGTTCATATACCACTTAATCAGTGGACTAACCCCAATAAATATTTATTTTTTGAAGAAGTAGGAACACCTAAGGTCTCAAACCTCTTTAATATTGATACTATGTCAGTACATGATGATTCTATGCAATAAAACAAAAATATCATATTTTCTAATTTTTCTTGAAATATGTGGGCTAACCCCTACGAAAAGATCAAGTTTTTCGATAAAGGCTATAAATTGAAGTTTATGCTCTTTCTTGTCGATTAAAAAATANAGAAGTAGGAACACCTAAGGTCTCAAACCTCTTTAATATTGATACTATGTCAGTACATGATGATTCTATGCAATAAAACAAAAATATCATATTTTCTAATTTTTCTTGAAATATGTGGGCTAACCCCTACGAAAAGATCAAGTTTTTCGATAAAGGCTATAAATTGAAGTTTATGCTCTTTCTTGTCGATTAAAAAATACCAAATCAGGTTATAAATTTGTATTAATGTATTTTAAACTTCCTTCCATGGTAAGAGAGCATCGTTTTAAGTAATTTATGTTAAGTTCATATACCACTTAATCAGTGGATTAACCCCAATAAATATTTATTTTTTGGAGAAGCAGGAACACCTAAGGTCTCAAACCTCTTTAATATTGATACTATGTCAGTACATGATGCATCATATGGTACACACTCTAAATCTATATATGAATGTATTATCAACATATTTTCATAGTCCATGGGCATCATTTTTAATTTTCCAACTAGTTATTTTTTAAACCTTATATACGATATACGACTTAATTATGTACTAACCCCTACAAAATCTCTATTTTCTAGGGAAATGAGAAAATCAAAGGTATCAAACCTCTTTAATCTTCATACTATGTCAGTGCATGATGTAACTATGCATTAAAACAACAATACCATATTTTTTAGTATATCTTGAAATATGTGGGTTAACCCCTACGAAAAATTTGAATTTTCTGATAAATACTATCTTAATTATTTTGCATCTTTAGTATTGTTTAAAAATACATAACCACACTCCAAATTTATATATATGTATGCTGATCTTATTTTCATAGTATATGAACATCATTTCTAATTTTCCAATGAGTAATTTATCTATATTTCATATACAAAGTAAAAAGTGGACTAACCCCTATAAAAACTTCATTTTTTGGAGAGAGGGAAACATCTAAGTTCTCAAACCTCTATATCTATTATATTAAAAGAGAAGTCATGACTCACTTCATGTGTGATATTTTAGTTTGGACCATCTTTAGAGTTTTATAAAATTTTACATAACATTATAACATCTTTTCATATCTTTAATTTTTGTTTGAAATACAAATAAATAGTTTTAAGAAAATTCTAACAAAATCTTTTAAAAATCTTTTAGAATCTTTTTCAAGATATAGTTTCAAAAATTATTTAATTAAAATTTTAATTATCATAAAATATAATTATCATAAAATATAATTAAAATTTTAATTCATTTTTAATTTATAAATAAAAAATTAAAATTATGTAAAATACTTTTAACAATATCCCAAAATTTTGTTTATGTATTATGTAGGTCCAACTTAATTAATTTTTACATAGATTTCAAATTTAAAAATAAAACAAAATATATAAATTAGTAATCTTAACAATAATATTTTAAAAAATTATTACAAAAATAAAAATTTATAAATTTTATATTAATAATATTATAAGTCACATAAAAATGATTATGAAATTGGATAGCATAAAGAATCAAATTATACTTATTTATTGATAAATTTTATTATATAATTTCAAATATTTTCGTATTAAAATACCCGCACGGTTGTGCGGGTCGAAATCTAGTTCTTCTTAATATGTCAGTGCATGATTCAGTATCCATTTAAACAAAATACCATATTTTCTGATTTATCTTGAAATATGTAGGTTAACCTTTATGAAAAGATTAAATTTTTTGATAAATGCTATGTGTACTTAAGTTTACATTTTTAATATTGTTCAAAATAACTAACCACGTTAAACATATTGTTTGATAATTACCTAAGCACACTCTAAATTTATATTCATGTATGCTAAACATATTTATATGGTACATGACATCATTTCTAATATTCCAAAGAGTAATTTTTTAAACATTCAGATACATTCTAATTAGTGGATTAACCCATATAAATCTCTATTTTGTAGAGAAATGTGAAAATCTAAGATCTTAAAGCTCTTTAATTTTTATACTGCGTCATTGCATGATGCAGCTATGTATTAAAATAGATATACCATATTTTTAAATATATATTGAAATATGTAGGTTTAACCCCCTAAAAAAGATCGAATTTTTTTATAAATATTATCTATAATATTTAGTATCTTTATTATTTTTTAAAAATACCTAATCACACCCTAAATATATATATATATATATATATATATATATATATATATACTAAACTTATTTTCATGATACATAAATATCATTTTTTAACTTTTCTAAATATATATATATATACTAAACTTATTTTCATAGTACATACACGTCATTTTCTATTTTTTTCACAGAGTATATCCCACCAGTTGAGATGAAGTAAAGAAGCATATGCTGAGAAACATTTGAAATGATGCTTCTTTATTGTCTCGGCGGATATCCCCTTCTTATTCAGATTCCTTCTCTCCCCACACAAAGAAAAATACAATTTTATCTAATCTTCTTTTGCTTCTGGCGTTGCCCCTGTTTTATTACCACACCCAAATCGTCATAAGCTTTGTCAAAAGAAAAAAAGAAACATGAACCTTTCTTCTTCTTCTTCTACTTGTCTCTCTATAAATCTGTCTCGAACAACTCCTCCTTTTCTTCCTGCTAGCACGACCACAAACACTACTTGTTCTTCTTCTTACTCTACAACAACAACAACAACAACATCAAGGTGTTCTTTTGTTAACTCCCCTGTTTCCATCCGTGTTTCTTCTCCCAGGAGATTACCCATTAGCTTGGTTCGCAAGCAATCTAAAACTTTCTTCCGCGGCGAGGTGATTTCTGCTTCTTCTGGGTCGGGTGATATGACTCAAGTCAGTGGGGAAGGGGAAGAATCAGAGATTGAGGCTCCCCTTGTCGATCCCGAGTCCTACTCCAAGCCCAGGAGAATTGCTCTCTTTGTCGAGCCTTCCCCTTTTGCGTATGTCTCCTTCTTTCATCTTCTGCTTTGCCTTCTTTGTGTTCGATGAAATGTCTCTGTTGATACTTTCTTTGGTCGACTTCGGTTTTTATGCTGAAATTCTATTGATCATAACAAATCTCATTTGTCGTTTTTAAATTAGAACAAAAGTTTTAAGTAATATCGTCTTAATTTTTTGCAGCTATGTCTCAGGTTACAAAAACAGATTCCAGAATTTCATTAGGTATCTACGTGAAATGGGAGACGAGGTAAATATACTATCTTATTCTTCAACTCCATGTTCTAGTTTCAGTGAAAGCTGATTAAACTGTTTTGGCTTCATAGGTCATAGTAGTGACGACACATGAAGGTGTTCCCGACGAGTTTTATGGAGCCAAAGTCATTGGATCTAAAAGGTACCAAACATTTTTAGCTATAACTAACTCAAAACTCAATTTGGTAGCTAATTTTATTGATCTATACTACAGCTTCCCTTGCCCTTGGTACCAAAAGGTTCCTCTCTCACTTGCGCTTAGTCCAAGAATTATCTCTGAAATTGCTCGTTTTAAGCCTGACATCATTCACGCTTCCTCTCCAGGGATTATGGTAAGAAAATATCCCTTGAGAAATCACATCACTACAACATTAGCTAAGCAGTGAAGTTGAGAATCCACAATTGATTTTAAAATTTTCAGGTTTTTGGTGCTCTGGCCATAGCCAAAATGCTATCTGTACCAATAGTTATGTCTTACCACACACACGTCCCTGTGTAAGTGTCTTATCTGCCTTAAACTGAATTGTCATCGGATATTTATTTGTTTATATCTTGTGAGCTATCAAAAGATGTTTCTGAAAAATTAAGCTTGTGTTGATGTGCAGATACATTCCAAGATACACTTTTAGTTGGTTGGTCCAACCAATGTGGTCTGTAATAAGTATGTAAAACTCTTGTTTATCAATTTCTTATGGTTATTGTCATCTAAGTAATATGCAAACTAAACTTGAATAAGCTTATTTTTTAATTAGGATTTCTTCACCGAGCGGCTGATCTTACATTAGTTCCTTCCGCTGCCATTGGAAAAGATCTTATAGCAGCTGGTGCAACTGCAGGTGAATAACAGATTAATAACACTACAGTAATTATACAAACGTTCTGATTGTTGAAAACTAACTTCCTATTTATTATTACATGTTGAAGCTAATCAACTTCGACTTTGGAATAAGGGTGTCGATTCAGAAAGCTTCAATCCCCGTTTCCGCTCTCAAGAAATGCGTATAAGACTAAGGCAATAATAGAATCTGCCTTTTTTCTTTATATGGATTAAGAACATGGATGTGCTCATCTTTAATGTTTAATGCTTTGGTAATTAACAGTAATGGCGAACCAGAAAAGCCACTAGTGATCCATGTAGGGCGTATCGGTGTAGAAAAGAGTTTGGAGCTTCTAAAAAGGTTAGATTCTTTTTTATGTAGCTTGAAACTGGACACACTCCTCTTAAGTGGGTGTATTAAGAACTGAGGAAGCTTTGTGGGTGCAGTGTAATGGAAAAATTACCTGAAGCTAGGATTGCTTTCATTGGAGATGGACCATACAGGTACTAATTTCTTGGCCTTATTAGCTTTCTAAAGAGTTTTAAGGCAGCATTAATGTAACATTACCTATCTATTTGTTTTTTTTTTTTCCTTAAAAGAGAGGATCTTGAGAAGTTGTTCACCGGGATGCCAGCGGTTTTCACCGGAATGTTATTAGGGGAGGAACTCTCACAAGCTTACGCAAGCGGAGATGTGTTTGTCATGCCGTCAGAGTCGGAGACACTTGGTCTTGTGGTTCTTGAGGCAATGGCTTCAGGACTTCCCGTTGTTGCGGCTCGGGCCGGTGGAATCCCTGATATCATCCCTGAAGAACAGGTCAGTGAATTGTCTGAATTAAAATTTAAGAACATGGTTTGGAAGTCAATTAAAAATATGATATATATATATATATAATTGGTGCCAATATGGAATTGCAAAATCATGTTGTTGCATTGATTGTTCTTGTGGACCAATCAAAGTGGAGGTGATGTTTATGATTCTAATGTTGTATAGGAAGGGAAGACCGGGTTTTTGTTCAGTCCTGGAGATGTGGAAGACTGCGTGGCAAAGCTGAGAAGTTTATTGTATGACAGCAAAACAAGAGAAATTATAGGAAAAGCGGCAAGAGAGGAAACAGAGAAGTATGATTGGAGAGCAGCAACGAAGAAGATACGCAATGAACAGTACAGTGCAGCTATCTGGTTCTGGAGGAAGAAGAAAGCTCAGGTTTTGGGACCAATCAGTTGGTTGGTTAAACGACTCTTTCCTGTCCCGCCGGAAGTTAACGCCTAGAAGAAGTAATCAGAGCTTCGAATGTTTATATTTGGTTCATGGTGTTTTTTTCCTTATTATCTCATCATATATATATTTATATAGTTAGTTAAGATTGCTTATGTGTTTTTATGGGAAGCTTGATGTTGTAATAAGATATGGGGAGGGGTTTAAAACCTGGTTTTGGTCTTTATGTATTAGTTTAGTTAGGTCATCGACTTTGTGTTTCGTTTTTTATGTGTTAATTATTTATCTTTGTTTTGTATGAAAATGATTAGCATCTTGTTTTATGTACTCTCTCTCTAACCACATTATCACAGTGTTTGGAAAAAATTGCTAAATATTAAATGTTAGTCAAATGTTTATTCGATCGCTGAACCAACCGATTACGAACACGAGTTAGACAGGCCCATTTATTTCTGTAAGAGGCCTTTGGGCCTTTTGTTACAATGTACTTTTGGCTCTTCCTCCACCAAGCGATATCGGAGTTAACTGAAGAAGATATGATGGCATTCATTATAGCTCTCATCGTCTTGCAGGGAGATCCAAAACAACGAGAGATGATTTTGTTTAGATCTCCTTACAGTACGGATCTGGCGATGATATCTCTAATGAAACCATCTTCTTCAATCATTTACCGTTTCTCTTTTTATCCTTCACAGAAAAGTTAGTTACATCATCGAATTTTAAAAGACGACGGATAACTTTCATCATATCATCATATACATACATTGGGTTCTCACACATATAAGTAGGGAACGTGACCAGTGATAACCTCAACCGTTCAAAAGTTCTTCTAATCGGCTTACATACATATATTTATTTCTCAGTGTGTCGGAAACAACGTCTCTGTTTCCATCAACAGTCGTAGTAACAGACTTCAGATACGTATTGCATAAACTCGGTATCCTTCTCAATCCCTGCCATTGTTTCCGGCGCCAAAACCACTTCCAAATCTACGCTTCCGTTCCCTTCTCTTCCCGGAAACGCCGAGATCTTCCCGTCGAATTTGTTCGCTCCACCACTCCTCACCGCTAACGGCTTTCCCCATCCGAAATCGTTGTTGTACATTGGGAATCTCGGCGAGCTCCCCATCGTGATGGAAGCTCCGTCTGGATTTCCCAGAGGGAACAGCCTCGGATTACTCTCCCAATCGGCTATCCCGCGGCGGACCGTCGCGTCGTCGTGCGCCACCACGTTCCTGTGAAGTTGATCGGCGGACCATCGGAGATCATTTCCCAGCAGATCTCCCGCGGTCGTCATCGTAGGTATGCTCTGTATCGCGTTTCCGAAGTAGTAAGGATCCATCTTAGGCTCGAGCCTGTGGCGGCAGTTAACCGCCATCCTAAACGTCGTCGTCATGCTCGGGTCGAGGTTCCTTGCTCGCGTAACGGATCGCCATAGCTGGGCACTGAGTGACTGGAACGATGAAATCTCAGCCGTTCGATCGTAATTCTTCTTTTTCGCTTCCGTTATAACCTCTCCGTTACCGTTAGATTTTATCCCGTCGTTAACTTTGCTGTTAGTCCTCTGTTTGAGTTTCGAAATGGCTTCCCTGCTGAAATGGAAAATTCTCTCCCTGATAGGCTGATCGGCGTCGAAGGTAACACGTGGACCACCGGGAGGGACAGGTAGAGCCACGGGGGAGTCGAAGACGGTGTGGCGGGAGAAATCAGGAAGGTGATTGATCTTGCAAGCGCCGCTGGTGAAGTCAGCGAAGGTGTTGAAGAAATGCCAGAAGGAATTTCCATCTGTAACGCTGTGATTAACGGTGCAGCCCACGAATACACCATCCTCTAGCTCCGTCACTTTGACCGCAGCTAGAGGCTTATGGTGGCCGTTATAGCTAACGAGACGCTCGAATACGAAAAACTCGCGGACCAGGAGAGGGACGTCTTTACCGGGAGAGATAACGTCGGAGACCGTGACGTGTTTGGCGGAAGCAGCTACAAAATCAGCTCCGGCGTCGTTGCAGGTGATGTAAATGTGACCGGCGGGGCTGGTGTAGAAACGGCCGGCTAAAGGAGGGAAGAGGGAGAGAGCTGAGGAAAGAGAACGGCGGAGAGAAGAGACGAGGTCGTCGAAGGAGAAGGAAGGAGGAGGGCGGGTGAGGAGGACGCCTTTTTGAATGTAGTGACATGAGAGCATAGGAAGATCAGAGACGGAGAGCCGGAGATCGGCAACGGTGGACCTCTTCTCCGGGTACACGATGCATTTCGATATTTCTGTTACTGAACAACAAGGCATTTTTTTTTCTTTTTTAAATATCTATTTATATATCCAGAGGATATGGAGTTATGAGTTTTTGCTTGGTGACGAGTAGAGTTATGGAGAAAGGCAGTTTATATATAGTGCTCCCAGGAATGGTTTGGGGTATTCATGAACTTGAGTGGTGTTACTATTTTTCTCCTAATTTTATTTTTATGTTTACATATCCCTGCACTGTATTGTATTCATTTATGTGGTAAACATGAAAATTCCCCTTTAATTTTTTAAGCATTCATTCAAACACTAGTAGATATTGTACAAGTCTTCTCTAGTAAAAAGATAGACATATGATACTGTGATTGTATCTCATATTCTTGTTTATTATTATTGATCCTAGTGAATAGTAATCATATTGTATCCTAATTCATATATTACTTTTAAGATCTTTTTCAGATTTATTTATTTTTCTTATTCTCTCTGTTTTCTTTTCTTTTTGGGTCAGATTTTTTCTTCTTCACTTAACAATAATTTAACCATAAATTTAATCTTCAGAGTTCTGACACTAAGAATTCGTAGGTTATCGAAGTCTGCTTTTGTTCACTTGTTTTTTAGGAGTAGATCCCGATATTAACTGCATGGGGAATATAAGACCACCATTATCGCATGGTTTTAAGAGGGTTTTTACCCAAAAAGTAAGCTGTGGGCCACCACAAAAAGAAAGAAACGAGTTGTACAAGTTGCAGGAGAAGAAACGTTTGTTCATGGTTTTTGGTACTGTTTGCGGGCCCCATAGACACGTGGTGGCCCGCCATTGGTATATTTTATAATTTTTTTTTTTTAGTTAAAAAGTAAAAATTTAAGAAACCCATTTGTAAGTTTGTGGGATAAAGATGGTCTAAGCTCTCTTTTGTTGTTGTTCAGTGTTTTCTGTTATATTGTTTTTATTTATTTTAAGGGTACTTATTATTCGTTTTCTGGCTTTATGTTCACTTAAATTATTTAGTAAATCAAGTAATAATTTATAGAAGTAAAAGAGAATATTGCATATAGTTTATAGTATGTATGAAAACCATTAAACATTTAATAATTGAGAATGGAGGAAATATATAACATTTCAGACTATAAGATTACATATCAATCATAAAATAGATATACATTGAATTAAAAGCTTTGTAACCTAGTCAAGGATATGTTAACTAAGTAAACATAAACTCTTTTTTCAACAACATAAACTCATTTATTTCATTATAAGTGTCATTTGAGATTTTTTCAAAGATGCAAGGAGGAAAGGATTTACATTTTCCCATATAGATCAGACCAGGCCAGACAGAGATGCTCCTCGGAGGATCGACTTGTCTGATCACCACTTGATCTAGTTTTTAGATGGGTAGTCGACAAAAAAAAAAAAAAATTATAAGTGTCATTTAAGATTTTTGTACATAAATTAAGAAAATTATTAAAATTTCTGTTTTATCCCTATTTAATACATTATTTCCTTCCATTTTATTAATTAATGAACTAAAAGTAGAAATTAAAACTAAAAAAATATTTAATATTTATGTTAAATATGTGAGAGACACTTATAATGAAGCATATTTTAAAATATAAAACAACAATTAATATGAAACGAAAGGAGTAGTGTGAATGAATATATAAAACCGGATGGATGTACGCATCTATTAAAAATCCCTTTTTTGCATTCATTGAATTTGTGACGTATCATAATTTTTTATTTTTAGTTTTCAGTTGACTATAAACCATAAGAGAATCAAAAAAAAAAAAAGGTATATATATATATATATATACATATCTATATTATATATATACATATCTATATTATATATATACACATGTTTATATTATATATAAACAATAACAATATTACTAAAAACAGCTTGTGAATAAAGATGTAAATCAAAGAAAGTTCGAAAATGCAACAGCTTCGGCTTTTGGTGTCATATCATAGCTTTAGATAAAGTTTACCCCACCAATAACCCTATGGTCCATGGTTAGTCCACTAGCCAGACAGAAACAAATAAACTATGGAAATCTTTTTATTCGTTTCGTGTAAAATTATGGGAATCATACATTCAAAACCCTGATGTATTGAAACTTTTATATGGGAATCATACATTCAAAACCCGAATATATTGCTCAACCCTTTTTATCTGTCAATTTAACTTAGACTTCTCGAAGTATACAAATTAAAATCTTAAAAATCGGATTTAAAATACAACATTTGGAATATAGATACTCTGATGTAGGTATCAAGGACCGATACTAGTCTTTGGAATGGACATTTTCAGTGTTGGTTCTGTTAAATTGTTACTACTGGGTTGTCCTTTTGGAGAATTTGCTAACCTTTTAAAAACAATATTTGTTTCGCTTTAAAAGAAAAAACTGTTAACAATATCTTAGTACTATTTAATAAACAAAAATTTTAAAAACTTCAATTAATGGGACGACGTAATTTTTTATATATGTGATGTTTTCTTATTCTAAGCAGGAAACAAACACACACACACACACAAAAAAAAACATTTTATCATTTCAAAGTGGATTGTGCAGTATAGACTATTCATATATCTTGTGGATATTTATTATATAAAAAGTGAATGGTGGAAAAAGAGTCAACTGGATAAATAAGAAGCATGTTCAATGCATCCATATATATATATATATAGATATAATCTACCAAAACTCAGTGCTTTGACCCTTTTCTCCATATTTTTGTGGTAGGGACAATTTAAATTCACTTTACTTATATGTATTTCGATACTCCACAATAGCAAATGGTAGATCCACAAGGTGCTAGTGGAGTCCGGAAAACAACTTTTTTTTTTTTGAAAAAGGGTTTCGGAAAACAACATTTGCACCCCGTTCATTTGGATGTGGTTACACTGGATAGTAGACATAGATAGTAAGGATCTCGTTAGTCCATTTATTCACGTTACTAATTATTTTAGCTTTTTTTGTAACTGATTATTTAAGCTAATTTATATACTGGTTTTAAAATTTTGAGACTTACCCGGTGTATAGATAAATGTAATTTCATCACATGATGTGGTAAAATTGGTCGTTTTGTTTTGTTATCATTTATGTTTTATGAATAATGTTTTACATAAAACTTAATATTCGATCTATTCATACACTAAAATAACGATAACAGTTTGTAGCATTTTGATGTTCAAAGTGACGCATGTGCAGTAGGGCGGGTCTGAAATATAAGCGAGTTAAGTGACTGCTTAAGCGTCATCTTTTTAAATAATAATTTTAGTTATATATAAAACATAATAAAAGAATTATATAAAGAATAAAGACATAAAGTTTTAAATGAACTTAGGGCATTAATACAAAAATGAAAATGTTGGACCGGCGCCACTACCATCTTTAAATGACAAGTCTTCGAGAAAGTTGGAGTTAGGATTTTAATAGCATCCCACGAATATTCACAGGAAAGCATATATATTTATAATAGATTATGATTATGGACCTTACAGAAAAATATCATCCGTTACGATGAATATAGTGGTAGGAATTTATACGTCGAACCCACTAATCAGTACTTTTCTAGTGATCAACATTACATTTATTATATATAGTGGTATAAAATTAATTTAATTAATCAGTATCAATTTATCACCAACTTATTTTTTTATGCCGTGCTAATCATTAACACGAGCCATAATGCATGCATGTGATCCTTAACTTCCACTCATTAGAGCACGTCCAACGGAGGATTTAAGCTAATCCTTAGCAAAAATCCTTGTCAGATTGTGATTAAAAAATGATTAAATGCTAAGTTACCGGGGAAAATAATCCTTGCCTAAGGATTCATTAAGTGGTAATCCTTAAGCTGAGGCGACGTCGTTTTGGACTTGCTTTGGGTGGGGAAAAAAAAAATCATTCATTTCACCGACTCGTGTTAAACAAAAACAAAACTTTCTCTCTCGACGACTCGATAGGCGAAGAGCGATTCGAAAGGGGAAAGTGGAGATCGAGATCGTTGAAGGTAAATCCGAGGGTTTCTAGTGATTTACTTTGTATTTCGCGATGATGCATGTTGATTTGAAGGGATTTTGTCGATTGGGAGTTTGAAATCGTTTTGGGGATTCAAACGAAATTAGGGTTTTCGTTTCGTTTTGGTATTTGCTTCTTTATAATTCTCTTCTGTGTTGTTTTCATCTCGTTTTCGCGTCGTTTAATAGGTTCTGCTCGAGTTGTAAATCGATTTAGGGATTCTAATCGATTTAGGGTTTCCGTTTTATTTAGAAATTTTGTTCTATTTGATTCGATTGCTTGATGTTGTTTGTGTTGATTAAGTGTTTCGGATACGTTTATTAGATTAGCTTTCTTGTTTTGATTCGTGTTGATTAAAAGTGTTTCTGATACGTTTATATGTTTGTGTGCTTGTAGGTTGTGAAATGGAGGAAGAACTGCGAGAGGAGAAAGCTCGTAAAGCATACTACAATATGCTTCAGTGTGTAACCGACGCGCAACACGGGATCCCCCAGTTGTGCCCCTGTGGAGCTATCACGAAGGAGATAGTAGATGAGGAGGATTCATATGACTATCTACCTGGAAAACGCTATTTCATTTGCAAAGATTACGAGGTCTAATCACTCTTTTTATATACCTCCTTGTAACTATAAGTTTCTGTCTCATGCTTTCAATATTTATTTGCAAGTTGATCACTATTTTTATCTTTTGGCAGAACGATGGACTCCATTTCAGGCAACCTTGGGTTATGGGGATTCAACAGGAGGTTGAGAGGCTGAAACAAAAGTTTCACCAGCAGGAGAAGCTTCTCAGAGAGTGCGAGGCACTTAAGGTTAGGTGTTTAAACTTATTTGTCTGATGTAAGTTTCACCACCACTACTGATTTGTCTGATGTATGTTCAGGGTCAAGTGAAGATGCTTCTTATGCGTGTAACTGAACTTGAAAGAAACCGCGGCACTTAAGGTTAGTGTTAAATGTAAAATGTAAATCCGAGAATGTATATGTTAATGTATCTGAGCTCATTAGGTTCTAGTTTGAA